AAGAACACAGATAAGGGTGCTTCAAGCATTGCTTGAATATTGCTACAGAGAGTGAAATGGTGGGGTGCTCTCTGTGTTTGAAGAATAAACCACGGGTGTCATCACATGCCTTTAGTTTGGCAGAAGTTCATGGGGTTTTACCACCCATGCCCAAATGTCCCCACAGACTGTTAACTCCTAATTCTGCAAACATGGCTGAGCTTTATATACCAGACTGTCTGTCCTTCAGGGAGGGATATATATCACTGTCAGGCATACTTCATAGAAAGTATCCGTGTAAAATTCTATTTGAGACTGATCTCTGATGTCCACGGTGCATCTGAGATCCCCACTGCTGGACAGGTCAGGCCATGTGGTACCCATACCTGCTTCATCAGCGGCTGCAAAATGGTCCATGGTTGAATAGTCACAAAGCTGAGAGATCTAACCTCTGCTCTCGTAGAAGTTTGGCTGAGTTACTGGGTCATTTTTAAGCAGGTCATGTTCATCTTGTGCCTTAGTTTCCCCACCTTTGGAGTAGGTCTTGTAACTTAAAAAGGGAAAGATTAATGCATTACTGCATTCATGCTTGCAAGGCACTTGGAAAGCATTAAATGAGACATGGTATACTCCTGCAAAATATGTTTATTAATTAACCAACATCTGCTGGTTTATTAGGGACCTTTCAAGGATGTGCCTTCTCATTAGCCTGGTACAAAACAACTTGCAGCAGGAGAGAACAAGTTGCTTCAAGCAAGGTTCAACTTTCTGCAGGTTTAATCTTCATCTCCTTGACAGACTTCCGAATCTTAATTTAATTATAGTTCCTTAAATGTTTTTTGATATCGTGTCTCAATCTCTCTGTTCTATGTCTTTTTATGGTTTCTTTTTGTCGTGGGACAGCGGAATAGATCATTTCTTTCCAGTGTCCATTAAAATTCCCTTTGCCTGCAGTGCAGTATGCTCTATAAAAGCGATGAACCTGCTGTAAGTGAAATAAGCTGATGCCGCACTGTCTTTTTAGAGCAACAACAATCTTTATAGATTATTTTTCCAAGTGTCATGAATCTCCTTCAAAGTCACAAGTGACTGTTATCAATTAATATACTTAGCAGTCTCATTTTCAATTCACATTCAGACCATACAGAGTCTATGCTCACCCTGGCAGATGCTTGAAAGCTTTGCCTTTCAGAGATAAAATGTTACCTTGTATGTGATGGGGGTGGTAAGGGAGGTTGAATCAGGAGCAGAAAGAAATGTTAAAGTGCAGCACCTGAGGCCTTCTTGTTTTCTGAATTTACAGTCTCAGGCTGGCGGTCGTATAAATGAGTGATGCTCTCTGATGTTCTCTTCCAAGCAGGCTACGAAATTGGCAGGGAGTCTTCGGTTTTGTGCTGATGTGTCCAGAATTCAAATAATTTGATTCTTGGGTATAATGACAATTGGAGGCACAGTATTACCTTGAGAAAAAGAGATGGGAGAGACAGCTTCTGTATCCTGTATTGAATTAACAACCGATTCTCATTTACTCTCTCGGCTGAAAACTCTATTATGCGGGATTCTTATTGCCCTTATTCAAGGGCATGGAATTAAAAAAGTGATATCGATGGTAATGCTCTCATCTTCCTACCATGACATTGAATAATGGGGACAAAGAAGGGAAATCTTAAAGGATGATATGCCTTTTAAAATACAGCTGATATTGGAAATATATAAAGGACAATGCATTTGAATATCAGCTGATGAAGTCATGTTCAGATTGTTGTGCTTTTTGCTTTTAAATCACCTTTGCTTTTATTTTTGCCATCATTTTTGGACCATTTTATTTTCTTGGGATTTCAGGAGAGAATCATTACATACTTGAAATGAGTACAGAGGTGAAATGTTGGTTACATTAATTCCAAGAGAAATCTGTTCTCTCTCCTCCTGGATCCAGGAAAGCAAGAGTTAGGAATCTGGCAGGGAAAAGTCCATCAATGGATTGGTGTAATTATTGAGGAAGAGTAAAAATACTGCTCAGGTGGAGGCTCTGGCACAAGTTGTCATTTTCCAGTTCAGTTTAAGCCCTTTTTGAAGTTACACAGACTAGATAAAACAGGTGATAACAAAATAAGAATGTTCACTGTGGACCCTGCAGCATCCTTCCTTTACATATACATTCATTTAGGTTTTAAAATGTATTTTCATGTGTAAATGATACCTTACACAAAATAATGAGTATATTCCCACTAGAAAGTTTTAAATTATATTTTACAGAATAAGTGGTAATATCTTTATTTTACAGATGGGCAACTGAGAAGCAGAATATTTAACTCCCTTACACAGGAAAGGCTTTCTGAGGTGAGAACAAAACACGGATCTTGCTCTCATTAGTGCAAAACCACAAAGCCTCCCTGAACTATTGACACTCTTACATATTCTCAATACAGATGTTAATGAGGACCCTTATCTAAATTTTCAGTCAAACCTCTCTGTGAGGTGGAATTGTGGAAAACAGCTCTGCAGCATGCCTGAGTCAGCTTTAAAATTACACTGGAAAGGGTTCAGGGAACAAGCGTGAAAACTCTTACCTGTAATGATAGCTGTTGATTCTGACCACATCCCTGCTATTGTTATGCTGGTGTAACTCTGTGACTGCAGTTATTTTAGAGTCAGTCACACCACCATGCTGTATGAGATCAGGATGCAGCTCAAAACCTCTTCATAGCAATTCTGAAAAGTCAAACTCACGTCAAAGGCAACCTCATTTTATCTCCCACTGCCCCTCGCAGACTATCAGCAGTCAGACTATCAGCAGATGGCTACCTGTGATCTGAAACACGTGGGCTTCGTTCAGAAAACACTGAAACACGGGGGCTTCAGCACCGTAGGATGGAGCAGAGTCCCAATCTTCCCATCATATGGTACATGTTCGTCTCCATCATTAGTGTATATTTAGTGTAGTTTATAGCTGATTGCAATCATCTGCAAAACATTCTTGCCCTGAGCTAGTAGATGTTCATGAAGCTGTGAGCACTCCTCTGCCCTGATCGTACAATAGTGCTATCCAGGTATATTTTTTCAGGGAAAGGAGAGGGACTGTGGGAGGGACATCACAATGGCATGGCAGGGCACGATGACCTGGAAAGCTTTAAAGGCATCTGCCAAAAAGCCTTTGGTACTGCCTTGTGTGGTGACACACACCTCACTGCGTGTATGTGCTCCCACACACCGACCTGGAGAACGACTGTGCACCTCCACCCTGTGTTAGCATCCCGGGCACGTCCACCGAGCTGGGCAACCTAACAGGGGTGTTGAGACTTCATTTCTACCTGGGCCAAATATTTGCAAGGAGCCACTGAGGGTGAAGAGCGATGATAACTGTATTTTCCTTGAGTACATAGCCTTCTTGCCTGTGCTGGCAAGGGTACATTTTAGGCTAAGAATTATAATTATTATACAACCAGCTGCCTGTGGCCTCCAGAGGTCAGCATATCACTGAGAAGAGCTGTATCCCAGAGTCCTCAAACTGTACTTTTCAAGCATGATCTCATTATGTATAGTTTCCAATTTCACTGGTAATAAGATTTAAAGATTTTTGTCCCCGACGTTAGTCGTGACAACAAAAGCAAGAAAAGGAAAAAGAGCTCTCAGAATATCCATTGTAAAATGCAAAATGTTGTCATTGGTCAGTACTGCCACTTGGATGAGAGATCCCTTAGGTGACAAGTTTATTGAAAATAATTAAATAGATATCCATACGCTTAGGTACTATTCCTTACAAGTGAGTACTGATGGGGTGAATGGACATGCCAAACATCTTCTGAGTGGACTGTCAGACTTGTTCAAATGTGTTACAAATTATTTTTTTTTTAGCACACTTGAAAACACACGCAGTTATATTGACGCTCTCAAAAATGATAACAGAACCAGAAAACATACAGAGGTGAGAAACAGATTATGAGAGGCATGAAACAGCTTTCATGCAAGAAGGAACTCAGACTCTTCATCTTAGAAGAAACAAGTTGGAGGGAATATGATACACGTCTTTAAAGTCAAGAATAGTGGAAACAGAAGGTGATAGGAAATGACCATTAATTATGTCTCACAATGTGGTGTTCAACCAATGAGGTGACAGGTTTTGAGATAAACACAGCATAGAATTAAACTGTGAAAATTGATGCTTTGAGACTTTATGGAGGCCAAAGAGGCAAAAAAAGGGACTAGGCAAACCCATGGAGAATGGGTCTGTGGTTGCTGTTACACAGAGGGGTCTGAAGGCAAGCTCACACAAAGCTCATGGGACCTTCCTGCACCCTGGAAAGGCTCCATGTGGACACCACCCCCTGCTTCCCTCAACACCCACTACTGGTCTCTGTGGGAGTGAGATGCCTGAATGTCCACCTTTACCTGACCAAGTGTGCTTCTCCTGTTCGTAGTATGATGCTCAGACACTTCCTTTTGCTTAAGAAGCAAGTGACAACAGTCTTTTCAGGAAAGGCTCTGAACTGAATTCTTTCTAAATACGAGCAAATATTGATTTGCTCTAGTGATATTATACTGAATTCAATAATCCAGAGCAAAATCAGGATGAGCTACATTTCGAGGAGACCCAAAATCTTACATGATCTCCTCTGAGATCAAATAGGCTCTTTGTGGCAAAGTAACATCCAAGTGTATTTCTCTGTGGGCCACCAGCCTCAAAACGTCCTCATAAAAACCAGAGAGCTTCAGTGTCACACAGCACTATCTAATTTCTCCTACAACACTATCTAATTTCTCCTTATCATGAAGAACTTCTAATTTCTAATTAGCATGAAGAACTCTACAAGGCTTACTGAGACCTCATTGTTCTCACATTACTGCTTTGAAATGCAACCCTAAGTGGATCCAGCAGGCATCAGCCGTAGACAAAGTGTAGAAACACTGCTACAAAAAAATAAAACAAACAATTCAAACAAAAAATCCAGCCCAGCTCCAAAAAAAAAGAAATAGCAACACTCAAATCTTCTGTTATTTTTATTAAAGCTGCGGAGTCTTACTACACACAACAAATATTTTATTGATATATTCTAAGTTAATAAAATAGTTGAACAACTCTTTAGATTTATATTTGTATAGAAATGATCTGTGGAACATCTCATCTTGAAACAGCAGTGCCTGAAAACAACTATTCAGCAGGATTTTTTTAAAGAAGAGTTTGGGACTAGAGGATGCACTGTTCATTCTCAAAGAAAAAAAAAATTTCCATGCAAAAATAACCCTCCCCCTCTTCCCACTTTCTCTCCTATCCGAAGTGTAAGGCTGTATAGAATGACCACATAAATGATGGCCCCTTTCTTCCAGTATTCTCCCTCGTGTCTACATTAGGAGCTGTCGTCTAAACTCAGTAACTAAAACAAGACAGAAAAAAAAAATTCAATTGCACAATCCTAGTCTGCAGGGGACAAAGTCATAACATCTCTTTACAGAAGTCCCTACTGTTTTTCCAGTTACAAGAATTTGTTATCACATTGTGTTTGTTTCCCAGCTCTCACCTACATGGCTGATGTCAGTTATTGTCCGTACGCCTTTGTTAACAGAAGTCAGTCTATCTACTATTGCTTCGGTCTCCCTTCTGCACCTATATGTACTTTAGATTCTACGTAGCACTGCCTGCAAAGGGCCGACTCCCCCATTTTAGTCAAAGCCCACAGCTCAAGTGATGATCTCCTCACTGCAGCTATGCATCAGTGTCGCCTGTGAGATGTCTTTTATAGACTAGGAGGCACGTCTTTGCTAGATCATTCCATTGATCTTAGTCCACTCGTAGATGTCCTGTTCACATACTATGTCCGAGTTGATGAGCAGGTATCTGTCCCCAACACAGAAATGTTTCTGGCAGGCAGCACATTTGAAGCATTCAAGGTGATACACTTTGTCCTTCACCCGCATGGTCATCTCGTAAGCCCGGATTCTCTTGTCGCAGGAGGCGCAGAGGCCATCTTGGCCAAAGAGCCTGAAACAACAACAGCAGAGAAGTAAGCAGAGTTCATTTACTGGGCAGATGGGAAAAAAACAAATAAAAAAAGAACACGAGTGCCTTGATTCATTAGTCAGGGTATTGCCAAGTTAGATAAAGGTCACATGGAAAGCTGCTGAGCAGAACTCTAAATTTTGCAGTATCAGAAATGAAGTAGAAAGTCCAAGGTTCTCACCTATTTTCAATGTAATTGACTTCTCTGATCAATGACCTTATCCTGAATTGCTGAGCAGCTTCAGGAGGAGTAAAAGTCCTAGCACAGCCATGCTAATACTTCCACTTCCGTGATCTATAGAAATTACCTTACCGTTGACAGATTTTGCCCACCTTCAGCGGTTGCTATTGTAGTTTACAGAAAGGAGCCGACACAAGCCATGGCCTAAGGCTCCCCCATCTCTTGTTATAGCCTCCACATTGGAGATTCTTTCAAACCCAGACATCTCTATACCCATGAATTCACCCCTGTTGGGTTTCAGAAGGATACACGCTAAGACCTTCTAGATACTTATGCTAGCCCAAACTATTTTATGGCATGGACTGCTCTTTAATCCACTTGAGGAACCCTGCTGAGACCATGATGGTATTGTCTGTTAAAAGAAGCCCCTAATGAATGCACTAGAAAAGTATTCCCCTCGCAGCATGCCTCCTGTTCCGCTGGAGCAGTACAACATACTCAGCTGTGTGTGAACACCACCAGCCTTTCATGCAGTCTGCTGGCTACAGAGTTTGTAAGTCAGATCATTAATAAATAAGCATGAACTATTTTTTTTTTCTTAAAAGGGGGGGAGAATGATACGTATTACTTGTGCAATGTATACACCTATTGAGTTTGACTTCTAAGTTTCCATACTAATTCTGGAAAGAGTTTTTCCACCTCAATACACTTCTCTTATGCGTGCTGTGCCTGCTTCATATTATCTTCTGAACTGGAAAAAAGATGCCTACTACATGAAGAGATCTGTAAAGGGAAAAACATCATTTCTTCCTTCTACCAGCAGATGTCAGTGTTTACTTCTGCCCAACAAAAGTAATACTGAGGTTACACAAAGGTTGCCAAATTTTTCATTAATGAGAGAAGATATTATACAATATTGCATTATTAAAGAAGTAAAAACGTGGAATTTCACTGCAAGAAAATACATTAACCGTATTGCCATTCTTTCTGTTGCGTCCATTTTAAGGTGGAAAGTATTTGGAACGTGTAATTAACACTGAATCGCTGCTGGAGTGTTGAGTCTGCAGAGTATTTACAAGCAGTCCCATTAGCAGAACTCAGCTCTTAGTTTCTGCTTAGCAAAATTCCTATCAGTAAAGCTCAGGGACACCATAATTAGGAACTCCACTGAGAATTTGGTTTTGGTTTTACTGGCAGGTAAATTAGCCTTCAGTAAAGTAGCTGAAAAAATATCAAATACCATTATTCTGTTCCAGAGATCTCCTGACACATTAGGGATCCAGCACTGCAAAGATCAATCTATTTTAATTGTAAGCAAGAAAGTAAAGATCCTTTATTATCAATTTCAGTGAAATATTTTAATCTCAATGTGACCCTGCTTACAAATTTTGGCAAAACAATTAGGCAGAGAGATGTTAATGAAAACACCTGTAACAAGTGTATTTGTAGGATCTGATTCAGCAAAACATGCAAATTCTTGTCTATTCAGGACCAGGTTTAACAATGCTAAAAATCCACTGGATCCAAATTAGTGCAATCAGACTTTCCCGTACTGGCTGTAGCTTTGCATTAAACATACAGCACGTTGCTGCTTTCTACTTGAAGTGTCCCAGATAACTTTACCAGCGATGCAGAAAAGGACAGGGACCAATCCGTGTGTTAAAGGCAGTGACCTCAGACTCCAAGCAGGTAGAGCAGCCCTGGTGTCTAGTGGAATTAAGCATCTCTTATAGACCTGATATTACTGCATCGGGAAAATGAATTGAATGCAGTTACCTTGGATACCGTGTTCTTAAATGAGAGAACTAAATGATCTTTCATCAGTTGCCGATCTTGGCACCTGGTTTTATACAGCTTTCAGCTCCAAGGCAATGCTTGGAGAAGCACAGAACTACTGAAAACCATTCAGGGGAACCAGTTCACTCTCAGCTCGGGGGGAGCTTGCTGAAATTCATCACCCTTTCCTCATTTCTACTTGCCAGAATCCCATGCTGGCACTGCGCAGTTCACCTGGAGCTACCAGCTTACGTCTGCGCAGACTGACAGATGCCAACAGCCCCAAAGTCCCAGGAGTTCTTACTATACTCTCCACATTTTCAAATAATTCTCTTTTGTCCACAGCACGTAGCAATGCTTTCACTTTGTTAAAAAATATGGGGTTTTTTGCAACAAGATTTTTAAGATTTAACCAATAAACAACTCTAAGTGACCTAATCAACAACAGGTAACCTCTGGATTTATCTGTTACTTACCCCAGCAGTACCATAAAGCATCTGTGCATGAACCCCAAAAATACAGGAGCCTACATTGCAAACCTGAGCTTGCAACTGATGCTGTGTTACAACTGTGACTGCTGCCAGGCTTTACGTTTAAGAGTAGTCAAAACTGAATTCTTTATGGATCTTTGCTCACTAACTATACTAATTAAACAACATAGCAAAGCTGGTAAAAAGAAGGGGAGCGAGGGTAGAACAAGTGGGTTGTGTACCTGAGATAGTCCCTTCTGCAGAGCTTCCTGCCCAGTTTGTAATACAACCGTCTCCCCACTTCTCCGAGCCTGCACCCGCACAGGTCGCAGCTGAGGCAATCTTCGTGCCAGTACTGATCGATGGCCTTCAGGAAATAGCGGTCCCCGATGTTCTGCTGGCAGCCGCCGCATGTCAGCAGCGAAGGGGGAATCTGGAGGACTTCATCCACTGGCTCCCTGAGGAATGAAAGAGGCATGGGAGAAGGAAAATGTACTCTGAAGGCATCCGCATGAGAAGGAAAAACAAAACAGAACACAAGACTGGTCAAGTTAGAACAGGGATTACAGCCTCCTTTTTTTCTCCCAGTGGAGTATATGATTTATCCCCTTCTGACATGAGAGGGAGCAGGACTTCACTCTTCATTTGCTTTAAAAAGAAAAAAGAACAGTTTAAAATGTAAGGAGTTAATATGAGTATCCAAAAATTTGTTACTTAAAAATTATTTTTTCTCAGAGAATAATAGATAAACATGACAATCTCTTCATCATCCCTGTGTATTCATTACTGTAAAGGCATCTACTGCTTTACTAGGACATTGGTGTCTGTGTAAATACATCATTTTTCTTCTGCTGGGCAGAACATGAATTGCTCAGTCATGTGTCTCAATCCATGCAGTTCTTGTAAAAGAAATACCTTTCCCATAACATGACTCTTCCATAACTGAAGACTGCACTTTTCCAAAAGTGCAATCAAAAAGCAGCCCGGATTCACCATTTCACTGAAATACTGGTTATGTCTGTGCAGACTGATGGATGCCAACCACCACAAAGTTCTTACTATATTCTTCACATTTTCAAATAATCCTGGTTTGTCCACAACACACAGCAATGTTTTAATTTTCATTTTAAAAAGCTTTTATTTCCCAATAAGATTTTAAAGAGTTACCTATAAACTGTGACATAATCAAAACAGATAATCCCTGGATTTATCTATAATTTACTGAAGAGCCCCAGCAATAGCATAAAGCATTTGTGTATGAGCCCAAAGATATATGAGCCCATACAGCAAACCTGAGCTTGCAAGCTTTGGCTGCAGTGCCGCTGGAAGCCAAGGGAATTTTTGTCTCACCAAGGGCTAAAGGACTAGAAAAGGCACCTGAGGGATTTTACGTGCAGCCAACTTTCCATTGGGAAATGTAAATTTGAAGACTAGGTCTGAGGATGTCATTTCTGTGGACAGCATGAAATGAATAAATACAACAGATGAGACTGTTGCCCAACTGGTTTAAGTTTTGCTGCTTTTCTTAATAGAGCCAGAATTTTACTTTGTGTTACTGCAGGACTTCCTTCAGCTAAGGACATGAATCCCCTGGGATAGGTCTATGCCGACATAGCTCAAACAGTTATTTGGGATTTACACATCTCTGTGTGAAAAGAGGTACAAGTCTTTGCTGTGGTATTAGCACTGACTATTCACGCACCTTATTTTTTTCCCCTTTTAAAAAGCTCTTAAATCTAGGATGGTTCTGGTAATACCTGGGGATAAAGCAAGAATTTTCTTCAAAGCTACTTTCTTAAGGAATTATTCTCTTTGCCTTTTTGTGTAATTTTACAAGTTTTGCCAAGAAAAAAAATTAAAAAAAAAAGAACAGCAACAAAAATTAAAAGAAAGGCACCTGAGCTCAGTTCTGCAAAGTTTGCAGTGACCTGGTGCTGCCACTGAGGGCCTCATCCAAACCCCAGGGAAATTAATTAATAAAAAACCTATTGGATCAACCCTTTAAGCATTTGTTTAATTTTAAACCTGTGGCTATAGCAACAAGGAAGGTGTATGTTTGCGCATTTATGCTTCACTGGATGATGAGTGAGGTGCACAATATCTGGTAGAGTGGAGCCCCCAATTTTTTTCATATATTATTGGGTTCTTCCTCTAGCAGAGAGTCCCTCAACGCTTTGTTTCTGTCGCTGGTCTGTCCTCCCTTAGGCTGGTGGGGGCAGAGGAGATGTACACTGATGGGGAAGGATCGGGCTTCTCCCAGTTTCCAGCAGGCAACAGGAAAAAAATTGTATTACTACTGCTTATTTACTGGGTCAGCGGTTTTCTGGGCAAAAATTACTTTGTTCAGCAGGGAGAAACGATCACCAGTCAAGAACTTCTCTGTTGAGGAACTGATCCTGCAGTTTTTATTTAGGCAAGCTGAGCCCTAAGATATTATCTGATTATATTCTGTTCTGGTTTGTACTCTTCTGAGTTTAAACTGCTGTGCCCTACAACTTGTGTCATAACATTCCCCTCTTACCAGCTTTCCGTCCTGTGAGGTTTTGTTAAAATCATGGGGAGCTCTGTATGCGATTAGGCCCTCGTTTTTCCAAGTTTATCCTTTTGGGCCCCATGCTCCCTTTCTTAACATGTGGGCTGCACTCTGACAAGTTCTGAGAGCCTTCCAACAGAAGGAAAGGTACATTATAATCCTTTACTATCCATTATCCAAAGCTTCAGATATACTCCAAAATATTTCAGGTTTTGGGTGTTCAGGAATGACAAGCCATGTTCCTCTGAAAGCCCTAAACTCCGGAATAGCCTGGCGGATGTTTACACAGAACAGAATTCCTGGTTTACACATTAGCTTTTTGATGTTCATAGATTTCTAAGCCAGCACTTAAGTCACTAGAACACAAGGCAGGTAAATAAATAAAATTACTAAAACTTTGTAGTTGAAACCTGGACATCATATACTTAGGAGCTTGGATTATTTTTTCTTGAAAAAACAGCATAAAATAAGAGACAATGTAACATATAAAACGTCAGAAGTGACACAACAAATTGATTTAGTCCCCAAAAGAAACAGTTCCCATGTGTTCACCGAGGGCTTCAAGCAATGGCATTTTTAGTATCTCACAGGAAACAAACCTCAAATGACTCAAGTTAACTAAGAGCGATGTTTTAAGCGTTATCTGAAAATGGAGATTTTATAATTTTTTCTTTTTTTCTTCCCCCTTATCATGATTCCGGACAAGCGTAACTGCAGTCATCACCATGAGCAGGGCTGAAATGACTCCGGGTTTATGCCGTTACGGAGCCTCTGGCCAGGGGGGTGCCCGTGTGTGCCCCAACGCCGGGATGGGACACGAGAGCTGGTCCCTTCCCCGAGTGGGAAACCCAGGGAGGGCAATTCTCACCTACATCCCGGCAATCAAGTCTTTCTACATGCCTTCTGCAGAACACCCTGCCCCCACCAAAGCAGTTTATACAAGCTCTTGAAAGTTGCATTATGAAAATGTGGAAGTTGGGCACCCACAGATAACAGCTCTGACCTTTCTCTATAATCGGCTGCAGCGAGCTGGGCAGATCAAAGCCGGGGCAGAGCCTCCCTCCGGATGAAAAACACCTTCAGATTTGGAAAGCGGGATGCTCTCCCTCTCCCCGCGCCCTTCCCCGCACCCCTGGCCGGGATGAGCGGCTGGCA